AGGGTTGGTCGGAACTTGCCCCAGACGCCTTGTCGTTGGTTTACGAACGCTTGAGCTTTGCAGATTTTGCTCGAGCCAAGACCGTTTGTTCATCATGGTACTCTGTTTCGAGATCATCCTCACCTAGAAAGAACCACGTACCCTGGTTGATATTCAAACAGGACACGAACTGGCAGATGTTTAATCCGGAAGAAGGTAAGTTTTACACAAGGCAGATTAACCAGTTAGGTTTTGGTAACTGTCGTAGCGTAGCGACTTGTGGGAACTGGGTCTTGGTCACAGACGAGAAAGCATATATATACATTATAAATCCCTTCACGTTAGAGATGATTGACCTTCCACCTCTAAGATCACACCACACCTCTGAATACAAGAGACTCGGCAACTATTCAATCCACTTAGACTACGGCTTTCGACAAATATGAGTCGACTATGCCGTTTTATGGGTAGACGAAAGAAGATAAGACTACTTAGTTGTGTGGACGACTTGGAATGGTGACTCCTTATCCTTTTGCAGGAATGGATATGAAGAGTGGGTTAAAACACCACGATGTGAGTATCTAGGAGACGACGGGTGTGTGGATTTGGCCTACAAAGACAAGAGGCTTTACATTCTTGCTGACTGTGGTCGCATCAGGATCTTGGACTTTTCTCCAGACTATCCAATAGAGGTCACGAATCATCCATACGTCTATGGACTGTTCATGTCCGGTTCCTATTACTTTTGGACGAGGATGAAACTAACCACGTCCGGGCATGTTCTGATGATCCAACGCGTGAGGGATCGATGCTGTTTAAAATTCTGGTTCCAAGTCTACAAGATGAATAGCAGTAATGGGGAATGGGAGAGACTGGATTCGCTGAAGGAAGAGGAGGCGTTGGTTTGGGATTTGAGCGTCACTTTGCCAACCAAAGGTGTATCAGGAATCAAGAAAGACTCCTATATATTTCTGTGACACTTGTGAACCATCGCCTACTCTAAAAGCCATTACTTATGAGATTCCTACGCAGAGGACTGAACATTTTGAACAATATAACCACTTGCTTAGAGTTAAAGATGCTCGGTGGTTTCTTCCTTGTTTTGCTGTTGGTGAATGATACATTTCAAGTCTTTTTTTTTTTAAACGGAGCTTGGCTTTTTATGTTCGTAGACTTGGATAATATATTCTGATTTCCATTTTAATAATAATAAAAAAGGGTATTTAGCTCAAATCCCATG